CACAGACACACAGACACACACACACACACACACACACACACACACACCGTGAGTTTTAAGCTGTTAGATCCAGGACTCAAATGCCGTCTGCTGAAACCAATGTCTACCTTTCTATTCTCCAGATTCTCTTCAATTCTTTACAAAGGGTCTTGATTTTTACTGTCACCAAGGGATAGCTTTCTTCAAAATACTCACAATTTACAATGTCTTTAAACTAAATTTGTACTTTTCTTTCTCATTTATCTACTTTTGGACCCCAATATAGCACTCTCGTATTCTTTCCTAATGTCATATTTTTTCTATTATTTTTATTCACAGAAAGTTCCATTTTTCTTGTTACCCATTTTCTCCAGAATAATTATACAGACTTATTTGTTTTGTGCTCTATCATTTCCAAAATGTATTCACAGGTTCATGTATCCTCACAACAGACACTGGAGGTGATTAAGAACCATTATCCTAATTTTATGAATGAGAAGTCTATAGTGTAGAATGGTTGCCTATAATGGTTAAACTAGACAATGTATGTATTGCCTCTACTACAGTCACTGCCATATATTAGGTTGTCAGGAAGGTTATGGCATATTTTTCTATGTCCTGACTTTCCCAACAACCCAAAACAAAGCAATTTGTAAAGGTACTTGGTTCTTGTTATTCAATAATAATTTCATTGATATTTCAAGTCAACAGTTTCCAATAAGTTTTTCCTTCTCAAACCTGCTGTGGTTGCTGACATAGCTTCATTCTCTCTTCTGAATTTTCTGACTCTTTCTTTTTTTACACCCTGTGGCACTTCCTGTAATCACCCTTACTCCTTAGGGTTGTCACAAGCAATTGAAAAAAGTATTATGTCTTATCTGCTTTATCACTCGTGCTTCTATTCATTCATTTATTCATAAAGCAAATATTCACTCATACACTGCACATCAGTGGTAGCCCAAGCACTACAGTTAAAAATAATAAATAAATAAATAAGAAACAGTGCTTGGCTTGAAAGAAACACAACTGAAAAAAAAAAGGTTGACAGATAAACAAATGATTTCAAGAGTTATGCTGTTCTGATGAAAGCATATAAAAGATATAATGGGGGGCTAGCTGGTGGTGTGGTGGTGAAGGCACCTGGGTTCCACATGCTGACTTCTTGGTTCTAGTCCAACCCAGTAGATTGGGGAACGTACTGGACATGTGTGTGGGCATGCCTAAAATTCAGGGAGGAGAATGGTTAAACTAGACAACGTATGTATTGCCTCTACTACAATCACTGCCATATATTAGGTTGTCAAGAAGGTTACGCCATATGTTTCTATGTCCTGACTTTCCCAACAACCCAAAACAAAGCAATTTGTAAAGGTACTTGGTTCTTGTTATTCAATAATAATTTCATTGATATTTCAAGTCAACAGTTTCCAATAAGTTTTTCCTTCTCAAACCTGCTGTGGTTGCTGACATAGCTTCATTCTCTCTTCTGAATTTTCTGACTCTTTCTTTTTTTACACCCTGTGGCACTTCCTGTAATCACCCTTACTCCTTAGGGTTGTCACAAGCAATTGAAAAAAGTATTATGTCTTATCTGCTTTATCACTCGTGCTTCTATTCATTCATTTATTCATAAAGCAAATATTCACTCATACACTGCACATCAGTGGTAGCCCAAGCACTACAGTTAAAAATAATAAATAAATAAATAAGAAACAGTGCTTGGCTTGAAAGAAACACAACTGAAAAAAAAAAGTTGACAGATAAACAAATGATTTCAAGAGTTATGCTGTTCTGATGAAAGCATATAAAAGATATAATGGGGGGCTAGCTGGTGGTGTGGTGGTGAAGGCACCTGGGTTCCACATGCTGACTTCTTGGTTCTAGTCCAACCCAGTAGATTGGGGAACGTACTGGACATGTGTGTGGGCATGCCTAAAATTCAGGGAGGAGAAATGGAGAAAGGATTACAGTGTTACCCTCTCCCATGGAGAGCTTTCTCACCTTCCTTCTCTCTCCATCTCTGTCTCTCTACAATGAGTACACATGCCCTCTAACAAATTAAAAAGAAAATAAAGATAATGGGGTCATGGGAAAAGACCTTCCACATCTGTATGTACAGTTGGAGGGCATCCCAGTCCCAGAAGAGTATCCCATTGAATAAAAGAATGTCAGAAATTCGGTACAAAATGTTGACAGCCAGTCAGAAAGCAATAGCATACACACAGGTCTACCAGAGGCAGGCATAGATATTGATCTGATCTGTATAAATAATAGAAGTCTCATGAAACTCATTTGCAGAATGAGACACTGCAGCTATTGTGACATGGTATGTTCTCATTTTTGACATAAAAGTTCCAAATCTTTAAGAATATACTGGAAGGAAGCTCTTAACAGAGCACTACCATGCATAAATTATGATTCTATTTATCAACAATATGGAGGACACAATTCTTCATTGCCAAAGCCTTTTAGTCTCACCTTATAATCAGTTATGTGTGGGAGAAAATCACCTGCTACTCAATTTTTGAAAGCATCACTAAATTCAATTATAAGAAAAAAATGTTTGACAAATGCCAAACGTCAGCTGCCTTTTTATAGAAAACACTTAAGTAATTATAAACATGAGTACCTGAGTGATGAATAATGACCCCTTGAGCTAAATTATATCAAGGCAGTTAAAGGATTTTCAATATTCTTAAAGTTTAGCAATGAATAGAAATAAGTTTTAAACTCCTTCAAAGTAAAATAGAACCAACAATATAGAATAATTCATAACAGAAAATAGGCAATTGCTGTTGTTTATTTTAATATCAAACCTAACTAAACGTATGTGTGCAAGTTCACAGTTGTAGAAAAACTTCCCAAAATGAATAATTTCAAATCAATTTCATCTCTTTTAACTTAATTAGAAATTATATTTTTAAGCTTCAAATGTGGCCTTTTGAGCCTCCTTTTCCTCTTGCTCATCCACTGCTTTTTGTTGCCTTTATAGTAAAACATAACCATTTAGACACTAGGGAAGGAACAAGGTAGACTGTGTATGAAGAAGATAATACAGTGGAACAATAGAACCCTCTCTCCTGTGCTATAGGATACGTGTGCTCCCCAGAGAGAGACAGAGGGAGGAAAAGTGAGAAAGCACCTACCAATCCAGGACTTGAACCATGGTTGGCCATATGGAAATCCAGTGCCTCAACCACCATGGCACTTGTTGGCCCCTATCCTGGCCCTTTTCTGTCTGCTACTTGCCTCCTCATCCTTCAAGGCTTTGTCTTGTCTTTCAAGACTGAACTGCTCGGAAGGCATTGCTCTTGTTCTGTGTTCCTGCAGATTTTGCATGTGACCCTTTTATAGCACCTAACACAGCCTGATGATTGCTTGGTACTTCCTGGCGCAGTTGCCTGACTTCTGCACTACATCCGGAGCTTTGTTAAGTCTGGATCTATGTCAGTCATTTACTTGTCACTAGCGTTGAGCACAAGAGTTTGGAATTTCATTTCTTTGTTTATTTTATGTTCCTTATTTGTTAATTTATTATGTTTGAATTAATTATCAATGAACAGAATAGCACATGAATGCTCTGGAATACCTCTTACTCACAGGCCATATCTTTTTTTTACCAGTTTTGGTTGTTGGCCCTCAGGTGCTGAAGTAGAAGCATAGGATAGGGAGATGAGGAGGACCTCCTAAGGTTGTAGAAATCTTACTCTTCTGCATAGTGGTGTCTGATACTGGAACAGTCAGTTAACTCCTTTCAGGATCACTGTCTTTGCCTCTTTCTAGAGAGAGTAATATTAATACTTGCTTATATGTTCGACTGATAATGCATGTAAAGAATCTATATGGAGGAGCCAGCAGGTGGCGTAGTAGATAAGGTGCTAGATTTCCATGTGGTCTGCCATGGTTTGAGTCCTTAACCCAGCAGCTTGAATCTCATGCTGGGTATGTGTGCGTGCATGCCCGAGATCCCAAGAGGAGAATGGAGAGGAAGGGATTGTGGTATGGTTATCTCCCCTGGGGGGTGATTTCCTGCTTTCTGTCTCTCTGGTAGGCACATGTGCCCTATAGCAAAAATCTCTTTTAAAAAAATGTCTACATGGAGCAGGTTTTTAGGTAGAAAGAGGCAATACTACCATTTTCTCGTTTGTCAAGGAAATACTGATATAATTCTACTTAGGAAGATTAATCCTAAGGCTTTGAATTACTACTTTAATCATAATTATGTCATCATAATAACAGTTGTTATCTTTATTAAATTTGATTTTACCACAAATTTTCCTGGTACCCTAGGAAGAAGGTCCCAAAGATAATTCCAAAACTATTGTATGTTTACTTTGGATCATGCTTTACTAGGCTTGGTACTCTGTCATTCTCACGATAATTCTTTGAGGTATTGAGATACTAGTATCTCAGGCAAAGAAATTGATATTCATGTCATTGAAGTGACTTTACCAAGTTCAACAACAGCCAGCTAACAGACTCATGTCTTTTTTTTTTTCTTCTGCCTATAGTCCTCTTCCTATAGTTGTGTAGACAAAATACCCTGTATTAAGCAAAATGAACATAAATTAAAAGATCCTTGGGATTCGGTTCATATAATGAGTTGGTGATAAAGATTATAATGTATTTTTTCAGTTTATGAGTTTAGTAATTACATAGTAGAAACATAAAGTTTTGTACTATCTCAAAAGGAATTGGTCACTGGGAACCAGCAGTTAGCGTAATGGCTATGTCGCTGGACTCCCACGTAGTCGACCGCGGTTCGTGTCCCGGACCCGGTGGCTTAAAAACTCACGCCAGGCGCGTGTGCGTGCATGCCCAAGATCCCGAGAGGAGAATGGAGGAGAAGGGATTGCGGTGTGACCATCCCCCCTGGGGGGTGATTTCTCGCTTTCTGTCTCTATGTCTCTGTCTGTCTGGCAAGCGCACGCGCCCTACAGTGAAAATCTCTCCAAAAAGAAAAAAAAAAAGGAATTGTCACAATAGATTCAGCAGTTTATCTGAAAGAAATTGAACTTTACCTGAGTCTTGTAGGTAGCTGTATTCATAGCCCAGGTCTCTGGATGAAATAAAGAAATCACCAATTTTATACAGAGGTATAAAAGGAACCATGTAGGATCCCCTGTTATGTCCAATGGGTGCATTGGCTTCTGGGTAAACTTCTTGAAGAGGGCGATGTCTTCGGAGCCATTGTTCAAAAATACTGCAAAGGAAAGGGTTATTCAAACTCAGAAATAATATTGCTTACAAAAGAAATATTTTAAATGTCTAAAGTAAAATAAAAAGGCACATTTTAAAATTCCAAAAATAGAAAGATAGCAAGTAAATTCTTCATGCTTTGAAATTATCTTGTAAAGCGCCATCTTATGCTCTCAGGACCTGAACAAGTTCATTCAATTGAAAATCATACATTTTTTTCAAATTTATTTAACTTTACAGATAAAATTATGAATTTATTGCATACAACATGATATTTTGAAGGACATATAATTTGTGGAATGATTTAACCTAGCTATTTTAGCATCCATACCTCACATAGTTATCATTGTGTGGTGAGAACACTTAACATCTACGCTGTGAGATTCTCCCAAGGATAAAAACATATCACTATCAACTATAAATACCATGTTGTCCAATAGATCTTTTGAAATTATTCCTCCTATATAATTGTAATTTTATATCCTTTACCAACATCTGCCCAACTTCCCCTCTTAATCACTCCTACCTTTGGTAACTTTTTTCAGATTCCACATTTCAGTGGAAATCTTGTGGCATTTGCCTTCCCATTCCTGGAATATTTTACTTAACGTAATATCCCCGAGATTCATCCATGTCTTTGCAAATGCAGGGCTTTCTTACTTTTTACGGTTGAATAGTATTCCGTTGTATACATATACACCACATGTCTTTATCCTTTCACCTATAGATGAGCACTTAGTTTGATTCCATACCTTGGCTATTGTGAAATAGTGCTGCAATAAATATGAGAGTGCAGATATCTCTTTGACATGATGATTTTGTTTTCTTTAGGAAAATACACAGTAATGGGATTGCTAGATCATATGGCAGTTCTACTTTGAATTTTTTAAGAAACCGCCATAGTGTTTTTCATAATGGTTGTACTAATTTCCTACCAACAGTATACAAGGGCTTCTTTTTCTCCACATTCTTGCCAATGCTTGTCATGTGTTTGTCTTTTCGTAATAGCCACTCCAATAGGAGTGAGGTGATATCCCATTGTGGTTTGACTTCCATTTCCCTGATGGTTCCTAATGCAGAGCATTTTCCCATTAATCTGTTGGCTATAAGTCTTTTCTTGAAAAATATTCTTCTATTCAGGTATTTTGTCTATTTTTTAAATGAGGTTATTTTATTTCTTGCTTGAGCTGTTTGAATTCCTTATATATTTTGTATATTAACCCCTTATCACATGTATACTTTCAAAGTATTTTCTCAATTCTGGTTGCCTTTTCACTCTTAAGAAAATTAAGGATAGTTTTAAAAGAAATTTCTTTATTACTTTTAAAATTATTATTATTTTTTTTTATACATTCAATCGCTATGCATCATTTGGCTCATAGAGAATTTACCCAATATGAAATACTCCTCAGACCAGTCCAGTTGAGAATACAAGTTATTATCAACAGATAATAAACCATTTCTATGTCTCACAAATGTTGAAAGAAGAATTTCTTAGGAGATTAATAAAATTTGTACAACCAGTGTAGGACCTTCAGATTACTGCAGATCTAGGGTAATTATTAGGTGAATGACAATCAAGTTGTAATTATAAGTCAAATATACTTCTTGTCCCGAAGAAACTTAGCCCTCCGGAAAAAAAATATATAATTAAATAGAAAACAGTACAAGAATTTGGTCATTTTTTTGGCTTATGATGGGGGCTTTCAATGATGTCATCCTCCATGTTAAGTTTGATGAAATGTATGTATACTCAAAAAGTTTTCCAGGGGTCAGAGTCCTCTCCAATGATAGAGGTTAAATTACTTGTAGTTAGTGTTCTACCTTCCTCCAAAGCTACAGGATTATCATATGATCAGTATTCAGCCAATTAGATATAACAGCCATGAGCTTGAAACAAGAGATAGTGACACAAAGAAATCAGAAAAATTGAAAACTAACTTCAGAGTTGGCAATAGCAGCTGTTACGACAACATCTAGTCTTCAAGGCCAGCAGGCCAGATGTACCAACGAAGGAATCTTTTGTTCAGGGGTGCCCCATGCTCTGTAGCACAGTGTTGGCTGCCTCCCTTTTCCTTTGTTGCCCTCTGTTTCTGAGCCAGTTTCTCCATGATTTGTGAACTATTCAGTATCATCCGAGAAAATTATTTTCCTGTTTAAACTGACCTAGTTAGTTTCTATTGCATGTGATTAAAGATTGGCTGGTATGGAAGCTATAAAATTTAAGGAGTCAAAACAGTCCAATAAGGATGAAGTGAAAATTTAAGATGAACTAACTGAGGAATCAGCAGGCTACCAAGAAACATTAAAAATTTGGCCCATGATTACCAAGACCCCAAAATTAGCTCAATTATTAAACATGTGTTTATTGAGTATCCACTGTAGGTCAAGTTACACATAGACCTGAGTAAAAACCTGAGTTTTGCAGGTTGTTACTAGGGAGATATTTCCAAATTTCTTAATTTATTTGATTTTTCTTTTCTTCATCTGATAAATGGGAACAGTACTTATGTCATGAGGGTATTGTGAGGATTAACTAAAATAACACAAGATACATAGCTATTGGTAAGTATTGACAAATGGTAGGCAGAAGCTGTCATTGTCTCCATAGTTCCTGCTCTTCTTCCTCCTCCTCATTGTGTTACTGAAGAACTTTACAATTGCTGAAAGACATGAGATATACCCCTAATAGAAATGCCAAAGCTATGTATTGGGTTGTTGGAAAAATCATAAGTCATTTTTGCGCAGAAAAATAGAAAAATACCTCATGATTTTCCTGAAAGCCAATATATTTGGATAGTGTCTTTAATGATGGTTATTATGCTGATTGGCAGAAATGGGTAACTGAAGAAAGTAGGAACTGGCTTAACAAATACATTTCCAATTCTACTCAAGTCCTATGATTTTATAAATTAGTCCTTTTCTTTTAATTTTTAAATTTTCTTCTCTTCTTATAAGTGCTTGTTAGACTATTTAAATCATTATATATGATTCAGAAAATATAATTAAGGAAAAAGAAAAAAATCATATGTAATTATTCTATTTTTTCCTTATATCTAATGTTTAAAACATGTATATGTAATTCATTTATATTTTATCAAACAAGGAAATCATCTTATAGATAATGTTTCTTTCTCTTTTTTTTGGTTTTGGAGATTTTTGCAACTTGGCATGTGCGCTCACCAGTAAGACAGAGACAGAGAGACAGAAAGCAAGAAATCCCCAAGGAAGGATGGCCATGCCATAATCTCTTCTCTCGGGATTTTGGGCATACACACACATGCACCTCACGTGAGTTTCAAGCCTCTGCGTCTGGGACTCAAACCATGGTCAGTCATGTGGGAATTCAGCAGTGTAACCATTACACCATCTGCTGGTCCCTATAGATAGTGTTTTATAAGATATTTTAGCATGGGTTCTCAACTGATAAATCTGTTTATTAATGAGGAGTTTCTCTGATAATTAATCCCTCCCTCATCCTATTAAAATTTGATTTAAGAACAGCCCAATGTACAATAAGCCACTAGATAAGGGCTTGGGGCAAAAAGTGTACCTTATGTCAATTGAGAAAAATTACCATTATAAGTCAATTTATAAATAATCTTGTTTCTGCCAAGAAAAAAAATTCTTTACATAACTTGAACAAGGACATCCATTCTTAGCACCAAAATATTTAATGAATGAAGCCATTAATGTGTGCTTACCTACCTTATCAACCTTTTATAATGAAGGTATTAATCTCGATTAAATTCTTCATCAGCAGTTCTCATCTTCAGTTAATTCAATCAAACCATGTCTAGAATGGTTCATATCAGAATACTAATGTTCAACTTAGATAATCATACTGGCACATAAGGGAAAAAATTGGCGTCTTATCAAAGATCACTTAAACTGTATCTAGACAGTTTTTGAAAAATCTGAACAAGGGTAAAATTTACAATAGAAGAATTAGGAAAATATAAAGATGTCATGGATGGAAATATGAAGGAATGTGTTTTATATATAAAATGAATGTAGGACTTCTGTTTTCTTGTCTGGCATGTGATGATCCTGGTCACTCCCAACTTAACAATAAGCAAAAGTTAGACAGATTGAACAATCAACAAGGTTCCTTGGACCTAAGAGAGAATTTAGGTTTCAGAAAAAACAGTTAACTCCTGAACTGAAAGGAGAACTGCATCCAGAAGAACAAAGCTGAGATCTGCTTACCAGGAGCAGAAGCAGCTGGTTGCATAGGTGGGAGGAACACATAATCTCTTCAAGGAACAGCTGGACTGCGTCTGGACTAGTGGTTATAGTGAGAACCTCCTGGGGCTTGAGTCTTAGGGGACTTTTGCACATGTAGAGATTTTACCTCCAGGGACTCCAAAAGGTTTTAATGATGAAGAGCCAAGACAGATCCTCTCCTGACTCTATCATGCAGAAGGGGAGAGTGAGAATTATTGAGAAATATGCCCAGTATATTCTACAAAACAAAGTTCTATAGTTCAGGGGAAATAACTTTGCTAGAGCCTTATTTCATTTGGAGGAGAGAAGTCTTCTCAGTTCAGCCTCTTCCAGGCCTTCTATCTCACCTACAGGGAAGCAAATGAAGGCTACAGCAACAAGGCTTCAAAGAAATAGAGTGGGAATGCTATACATACTTCAGCCAGGGAAAGGAGTAGAGGGTAGGGACAAAAACAAAAAAGAGCTATATATATCATGAGGAAAGCCCTTGTGAAGATCAAAGGCCCAAGACCCTGGCTCACTAAAATGCCATGATTTGATCAGGATATTTTAGAATGGGTCATGCCTTGCAATTATACCAATAGAGCTCCAGTAGAAGAGCAAATTACAGGGGCCAGCAGGTGGCGTAGTAGTTGTTAAGGCAGCTGGACTCCCACATGGCTGACCGCAATTCAAATTCCAGACCTGGCAGCTTGCTTTCTTACTTTCTCTCTCTGCCTCTCTTTGGTCAACTTCAAAAAAATAAAATAAAATAAAATAATGACAATGAATAAAATT